CAGCCTCCCTGCTGGAAGGACAGTTGAAGGTCACTTCCTTTCCCTATAGCCATTTCACAGTCAGGAAGCCCCAGAGAGGGCAAAGGACTTTACCAAGACTACCCAGCTTATTCCTGGCAGATGGGACCCAGAACCAAAACCCAGGCCTCTCCCTCTAAGGTTAGAGGTTTAGCCGTCCTCTGATGTACTTTATATTCTGGAATTCCATGTAAGGGAGCATTTGAAAAGGTTCTGCAGCCTTTTAAATGGAGCCTCTGGGGGCCGGCCCTGTGGTGTAGTGGTTAAGTGTGTGCGCTCTGCTGCTGGTGGCCCGGGTTCGGATCCTGGGCACACACTGCTTGCCAGGCCATGCTGTGGCGGCATCTCATATAAAGTAGAAGAAGATAGGCACAGATGTTAGCCCAGGGCCAGTCTTCCTCAGCAAAAAGAGGAGGGTTGACATGGATGTTAGCTTGGAGCTGATCTTCCTCACACACACTCACAAAAACATTAAATGGAGCCTCTGGTGGCGATGCTGTGTGTGTGGGCTGCGGTGGGGAGATAATCTTTTTTTCCAGCCTGGCCAAAGCTAGAGAAGGTTCTGTCTGCTGGGACAGTGGCAGGCAGGGCATGGGGACCTACCACTTGCTGAACAGCCACTACGCTGGGGCTTTGCAGAGAGGAGAGGGAAGGGGGAGGTTAAGAGCCAAGATCTTGGCCTGGGAGAGCTGAGTTCAAATCCCAACTGTGCCCTGCAGGCTCCTGGGCAGGTTAGATGACCTTTCTGGGTTCCATTTTCCTCATCTGTAAAATGGGGTCATAATCTTTAGCCTGGTACCCCACTCAGTACACCCTCTGATCTCATGTTCGTATTCTCATCTGCACACATTGTTTGATTGGCTTCTCAGATCAACCCTAGGTTGTGGGAACTATTAGGTCCATTTTTACCAAGAGGGTGAGAATGACGCGGGTCACAAGGTGGGGTGTGAACCCATACCTAGGCTGTTGCACTCTGTCCAGTCTCTCAGACCAGGCCTGGGCGCCTTCCTTGACTTGGCAGCCACAGTCTGCCCTGATGGGGCTGTGTCCTAGAGGGGCGGGCTGTCAGGGCCAGGAGAGACGTTGGCCTCTGTCACTACTTTCTCGATGAGGAAACCAGGTCCCAAGAAAGGAAGTGGCTTGCTCGGGGCGCTGGTCTCTGTGGCCTAGCCCCCGCAGCCACCAAGAGTGATATGGGCAAGAAAAGGAGGAAGTGGTGGTAGGTACAGAGGCTGCTTCTCTACCCACCCAGTGGGGGCATGGCAGGCCCAGGGCCAGCTCGCGGGTCTGGACAATGGCTCACACCCGGACCCACCCAGAGAAGGAAGTGGGGGGCTGTCCTTGGGCAGAATAGAGCACCCAGGCCTTCCCCACACTGCCTTGAGGCTGAGGCAGGAATATGCTTCTTCCCGCCCAGAGCTTTCCTGGGCGTCTCCTCCTGGAGCCTCGAGAGACATCCTGCAGTCCCCTTTGGCCCCCCTGTGGGGAAAGGGAGGCCCAGAGTGGCCACACAGCGTGGATGGCAAGGCGAGCGGGGCTGTCAATGGACGGACTGCCCCTGCTGACCACCTGGCGCCCTACCCCAGCGTGGACTGCCCTAGATGCCGCATGGTGGGGGCGTGGCTTCTGGCTGCTTGCTGGCTCTCAGTGCACACATCTGCAGGGCCAGCATGGCCCTTCTCTAGGGCAGCGTCCCTCTGGCCCAGCCTGGGCACGGACCTGGCCTCTGTGAATCCATGGTAATGAAGGATAGCCTGAAATACAGCTTTGATTTGAGGTGAAGAGAATTGGGTAATCATTTTCAAAAGTTACTTGTTTAAATCATTTTTTGATGTTTCAAAATGAGAAATAGTTGCTGGGCTGTCTATTGAGTGACCGATGTAGGGGACAGGCCGACCTGGGTTCATATCCCAGATTCTGACCTTTACTGCTTGAGTGACCTTAGGCTGGCACTTCCCGTCTTTGGGCCGCCTCGTCCCTGTCCTTACCTGGATGCGGCGTTTTCAATAAGATAACGGCTGTGGTTCTTGCTGCAGTGTGTGGCAGGTGGACTCCAAAAATGGTGATTTCACAAAGGGCAAAGCTACTGGCAGGTTTCAGGTGACAGAGGCTGCGGGTGGACAGAAGGAGGCGAGAGGCCCTGCCTTCTGGTAGTTTCCGTATTGTGGAAATGTCAGCTTTGAACGGAGGGGGACCAGCAGGGGGGCCGGGTACTTACAGGGAGGAGCTAGGTGGATGTGGAAAGGGAAGGCCAGGTGGCCCCCCTGGAGGGGGTGATTCTGGTGCTGGGCCTTGCACTGTGGACGTGCAGGGCCGATTGATTAACTGGTCGAATGGTTGGTTCATTCATTTCCTCAACAGCCTACTGAGCCCGACTCTGCCTTGCTCTGAGCAATGAGTCAGAGCCCATCCCCTTGAGGAGGTGGCTGGGGTGGGGGTGGAGGAGGAGGGTGCGGGCTGGGGGAGGGGTGCAGTGCAGAGGAGGCATTGTGAGCAGCCCCGGAGGAGTCAGGCACTTCCTCGGAACAGTCTAGTCACCTGTGACGGTGGCTCCCTCGGCCTCAGCCCCTCCTAGCACCACTGTGGCTCCGAGCAGGGGCCGCACCGGATTCTTGAGCTGCAGCAGCAGGGACACTCGCTGCTTTCTGCCTCCTCCAGAATGGCCAATGTAGGTTCGGTTTTGCTTCTCTTTGCGCTCTGGGGGTCTCGATAAGGACAGAGGGTTTCCTCTGGAGAGTCAGGGCTGGGCGTGACGCTGGCAGGGAAGGCCAGAGCGTCCTGCCGCGGGGCTGAACTCCAGCCCGTGTTTCCCTGGTCAGCTCTCCGCCATCTCCCCCAGGGGCATCATGGAATAATAACACGTCCCCTAAAAGTCCAGATTCTTGTCCTGCCTCTGCCTCTGTGACCTCAGGCAGGTCCTTCTCTTTTCTGGGCCTCAGTTTCCCTGAGGACTTAAGGGTACTGGACAAGATGTCTTCCAGTTCTGGTCGTCCGTGGAATTTGGACCTGAATCATGGTGTCCAGCTGAGAGCGACCCCCTCATGGGGAGAGGGCAGGACGCTGAAGCTCCAGAGTCAATTTCCTTCCCAGCTGACCCAGGCTTCTGCCCTAGGGGTCCAGAGGGAGGGCAGAGGCTGGGGGGCAGGAAGCCGTTGTCTGCTGGCTGGTTAGTGGGCAAGTGGCTGGCTGCCCATGAAATCTGCAGAAATGGAAGCCTGGCCCAGCCTGGCCCAGCAACACCAGCCTGGACATTGGGGCTGACGCCTGCCACGGAACAGGCCTGCCGTGGTTGGAGGGACAACCTCCTCCCGCTGGGGACCTGTTTGTCACCCTGTAGACAGCTCTGCCTGGGCCTCGGGAATTTCTAGGGATGCTTCTGGAGGAGGGTGTGAGCTTGGGGTGCTGTGTCCTACAGGCCTGGAGATTCCACTATTCCCAGTTTGCTGAGGGTGGGCTGGGCTGGCACAGGGCCAGTTGGGGCAGTTTGTGGCATCTCTGCGTTTCCCTACCACATCTGATTCTCCTTAGACCTTGAAGAACAACACCTTCTCTCCCCAGAACTTAGCTCAAATGCCTCTTCCTGCAGGAAGCTCTCCTTGATTTAGACTCTTCCCCTGCCTCTCCCCACACACCCATAACACGGCATTTGCGGGGAGGCATGGGGCAGGGAAAGGAGCTCCACCAGCTTTCGACTCTAAGACGGGTTAGAGCTGCCTCCTCCAACTGCACGTGGCCTTGGGAAAGCCGCACTGATTGCCTGAGCTCTGTGGGGTGGGGCTGTGAGGCGTGTGGTCAGGGAAGCAGGGGCTCCTTCCCCGGGCTCTGAGGCTTTTTGGGGTCTGTAGGGATGGAAAAGACAGACTAGGTGCCGAATCTCGGGGCCTGCCCCGATCTGCAGTTGTCTGGCCGAGCACCCTGGGGGCTGGGGGGTCCTTCCTCAAGAATGGATACGGGAGCCAGGCTCAGGTCAGACACAGACACCTCTGCTCCCAGCAGGACATTTTACTGCCTCCCCCAGGATCCATCTCTCTCCCCTGCAGTGGCGCTGTGTGCAGCACCTGGAGAGCTGGGAGGGGCAGCCTGGCCCTGGGGCCCACTCCCTAGGCCTGGGGATGTCCTAGGAGACCCCCTGCCCCCTCATAGTCCTCAAGTACTACCTGCCTTCCCAACTTCCTGCACCAGCAGCTCAGAATCCACTGCAGGGTGAGAGAGGGGCATCAGATGGTCAGGAACACCAGGCCGGGCTGAGCAGCAGTGAAGCAGCTGTGACCTGGACTCTCCAAGACTCCCCACCGCCCTGGTTAAGAGGGGGCCCCGGGGCGTCCTAGGTGTGCCGTGTCCTACGTGCTTCCTCCACGTGTGTTAGGGTGTGCCCCGCTCCTGACCGACGTCCCCTCAATGCCCACGTCCCCGAGTGGGCGCGGGAGGAGAACCTGAGCCCACACAGAGGGCTGGCGTAGCGAGGGCACAGTTGCTGATGGAGAAACAACCATCGCTATTGTCGCTGCAGAGGCCATTTAGTGTAGGGTGAAGAGCAGGGACTCAGGCCAGACGGCTCTCAAGCTGCGTCACTCAGGGCACACGTCACCCGCCTGAGCCTCCGTTTTCTCACTTGGACGGCTGAGGTAATAGGATTATTGAGAAGGTGACAGGAGCGACCAGTGCCGGGCACCCTGTGAGGCTGTCACCATGGGGCCTTGGTGGTGGCCCTTCCCTGGCCGTCTTGTGTTGGAGTCAATGTGTCATGGACTCTGATGCCAAGCGGGGCTCATGTACACACCTGGATCCTCCACGGATGGGAGGAGACCTACTGTGTGCCTGTGTGAAGCCAGGTCCTGAATCCCAAGAGCTTGAATGGGGGAGATGGAGGCAGATGGGGATGTGGTCAGAGGGGTCCTTGTCTGGCTGCGCGCGGTGCCTCCCCAACCCACACTGCCGGGTGTGGCCTTCACACACCCCTCCTCCTCCACCCCTCGTCACAGTGCAGGGACTTCACGGCCCACACGGGCTACGAGGTGCTGCTGCAGCGGCTGCTGGACGGCAGGAAGATGTGCAAGGACGTGGAGGAGCTGCTGCGGCAGAGGTGAGCGCCCGGCGCCCTGCTCTAAACCGGCAGGAGTGCGGCTCCCCCGTTTTCCCCCAGACCTGGGCCTCCCCCAAGTGGGCAAATAACCTGATGTTCCTTCAAACGTGCCTGTATTTGGCCGACATTTCTTTGGAGGAAGGGCTGGGGGCTTGCCTTTCTCAGGAGGAGCCTGCAGGGCCATGCTCGCCCCCAGAGGCTGGGTGGGTGGACCCTCGGTCCTGGCGCGGACGTTGGAGGGAACTGCAGCCGGCAGGAGTGGGGGAGACGCAGTGCCCACCTTGTTCTTGCAGGGCCCAAGCGGAGGAGCGGTACGGGAAGGAGCTGGTGCAGATCGCCCGGAAGGCTGGCGGCCAGACGGAGATCAAGTAAGAGGCCCGGGCCCCGGCTCCCTCCTCCTTTGCCAGGCACCTTCTGGGCCTTTAGACAGGGTCTAGGGCTGCCTGGAGTGAGGTGGACGTTGGACAGGGAGGGCCAGGGAGGCCTAGATGGCCCCTGGGGCAGAGGGCCTGGAGGACAGCTCTCTTGGGCATCGGGCATTCTGGGTGAGGTCAGGTTCTATGGGGGAGAAAATCCAGTGGTCTGGGCAGAGGGTAGAGGCCATCTGTCCCCAGGCGCTTGCAGCACAGCTGGCACCACCCAGCAGCCCCCACCCAAGTCCTGAGAGGCCTGAGGGGCAGGTGACGGGCCCTCCTCTGGCTGCCCGAGCCCCCCTGCAGCGTTGGCTCTGCCTGAACTTAAGGAGGGAAGTGTGGCCAGAGACGGGGGTTGGGAGGGTACACACATGGGTTCCAGTCCAACACCTCAGCCACCAGCTGTGTGACCTTGGGCTGGTCACTGACACTCTCTGAGCCTCCATTTCCTCATCGGGGAGACAGGATAATAATACAACCTTCCTTGAAGGATTAAGCGAGTCCAGGGGCTCAGCTCAGGCCTGGCTTGGAGGAGAGGCACTAAGGCTGCTGTGGGGCAGCTGGGCCTCTCCAGCCCTGAGGCCTGGTCTCTGTACAGACTCGGGGGGAGCAGACGGGGAGAGGGTGCCAATCTGAGGGCAGCTGAAGGAGGACTTTCTAACAGTGGAGTGGAGGGGCTGCCTTGGGAAGGCGTGGACTCTCCCCTGGGTGAGGACCCAGCCGGGCAGAAGGTCAGACAGGGTGCTGGACTCCAGGTTCAGAAAGGGCTCTGACGAGGCCTCCCCCTCATGGGGAGCCCCAAGATCTGACCCCAGCCCGCGGCTGCGACAGCAACCTCTGACCCTTGCCCCTGCTCTCCTGGAGGTCAGGCCTGTTAGTGCCTGGCTCTGCCCAGGGAAAGAGGCCCTGAAGCCAGTCAGCTCCAAAGCCTGGATCCAGGTGCACCCGTCTGAGTGCCCTGAATACACAGCCCTCTCTAGGTCTTCTAGAGACACCAAGGACCTGGCTCCCAACCTGGAGCCCCAACCTGGAGCCACAGAAAACATGGGAAGGGCTAGGAAGGGTTAAAAGTGGTGTGACCCAGGGGAGATTAATGCTCAATGCCCAAAGGCCCATGCATTGGACTGGAAAGAGTGAAGGCAGCCCAAGGAGAAAGAATGCGTGAGCTCTAGTCCCCACTGTCTTTGTGAGCTGTGTGACTGTGGGCAAGCCACTTAACCTCTCTGAGTTTAGTTCTCATCTGCCTACTCCAGTGGGCTGTTGTGCAGATGAACAAGAACATGGCCTGAGGGCCTCCCAGGGGCAGGGCCGAGGCTAGACGCAGGCTGGGTGCAGAGGAGGGCTCAGGACAGAGTGGGGAATGAACAGAAGGGTCTGTTGGGACCCTTCTTCATCTTCCCTGGGACAGGGCCAGTGGGGAGGGGGGCAGGGGAAGCATGACCCAGGAAGAGTCCCTGCCTGCCTCCTGACCTCCCAGGCCAGCTGGAAAAGGAGAACTTTCCCAGAAAGAGAGGAGACCTCCCGGGGGAGTTGTAGAGGGGGCTCCAGGCAGGGCCACGATGGGAGCCTGGGCTGAGGCAGACTGTGTGAGGCACACTCAGGGGGCTGTGAGTCACAGGGGACTTGACAGAGGAAGGAGAAGCCACTAATGAGGAGGATAAAGTGGGAGCAGAGCCGGGTGGGCAGCGGGAAGGGTGGGGAGGTAACTGTACCCGCCCGTCTTGAGAACTGTGAAGTGGCCGGGGTGAGGCTCGGGGCCCTGACTCCCTGCGTGGTTATAGGAGCCCAGTGGGGCAAGGTCTGCCCTGCCCTACTTACCTGGGATAGTCACCCCCCCCAGGTCCTGGGTTCTTGGCTGTGAAAGGGGACAGTCACCCCCAACAGTTGCTCTTGGCAGTCACATTGTCGAGCTGAGAGCACCAAGCCACAGGGGTGCTCAGTCAGCAGTGGGGTCTTTACAATCTCACAGGCCCCTCTGTAAGTCACAGAAATTGGAGTCTCCTGCTTAGTTTGGGGCTGAGAAGCCTGACCGGGCAGCCGAGACCATTTCCTTTGGGGCCCAGCCCCTCCCTGGCCCAGAGAGCTGGAGGCTGGGAGCCCCTGGAGAGGGAGCCCTCATCCAATGTGGGGGCACCAACGGTGGACCCCCAGGCCAGGGGCCAGAAGCAGAGTCAGGGTCTACCTTGCCGCCTACCCGGAGGAGCTGGAGCCTGGGCTGTGCATGCCAGGCCCCATGGCTCAGCCTAACCAGCAGCAGGAGAGGCAGAAACAAAACCCACAGGGGCCCTGCAGCCCAGCCACACAGGTTCCAGAACAGGCCAGGAGTGGTGCATGCGAGCATCAGGCTGGTGCGGCCAGAGGAGCAGGGCAGAGTGTGGTGGACGGGGAGGGCACCTCCTGAGAGAGGCGGAGAGGAAGGGGAGGTGCCTTCCTGCCAGAGGACCAGCAGGGACAAAGGCTGCAGGGCACACTGAGAGCCAGTGAGTGACAGGCAGGGGTTGAACCATCCCAGCGTACCTGCTGCCTCCCTTAGGGCTATACCCCGTGTGGCTCCCAGGTCAGCTGACTGCACACAGTAGGTGCTTAATAAGTGCTGCTGTTGACCCACGTGGCATGACTAGAGTTAGTGAGACCATGCAGTCACTCCTTTCTTTAACTGTGGGCCAAGCATCCACCATCCCTCCATTTAGTCAACAAGCAGATGGAGAACCTACTGTGTGCCATGCCCAAGGCTGAGTCAGGGGGATTCAAAAGTTTAAAAATAAAATAAAGGGCCTCTGGGCCGGCCCTGTGGCTTGGTGGTTAAGTGCGCGCGCTGCGATGCTGGCGGCCTGGGTTCGGATCCCGGGTGTGCATCAAGGCACCACTTCTCTGTCCAGCCTGAGGCCGAGTCCCACATACAGCAACTAGAAGGATGTGCAGCTGTGACAGACAACTATGTACTGGGGCTTTGGGGGCAAAAAATAAATAAAAAATCTTTAAAATAAAGGGCCTCACTGTCTTAAAGCCAGAGTCTAGCACACTGAGGGTGGCTTCATTCTTTTCCCCAGCCCTTTGCATCAGAACCTCCCTTCAGGGCCCTTTCATGCCTCACCTCCTCCAGGAGGCTCTCCCAGACTCTCCAGCCCGGCCTGACTGTCGGGGTCTTGGCATAGACCAGGCCACCCCGTCCCCACAGCCACATGGAGGGGTCTTTGTGGGAAGAGTGAATGACAGCCTGGGTGGCTTCTGTGTTGTGGAGACTTGTGGGTGGTGTGTTTGGGGTTGGCACCTCCGGGAAAGGTGGCGTGGCTGTTCAGTGTCAGGGCTAGCAGCTCACCCTCCAGAGCCCATCCCCTGGTAGGGGGAAGCCCCCAGCCTTCCCACGGCCAAGCCCCCCATGGGATGCTCATTCTCAGCCCCTTGGAGGGTGGGCAGCGGGCTGGAGGGTGCACAGGCTGGGCAGGGATGAATGAAGAGGACAAAAGCCAGGAGGTTAAGTGACCCCAGAAATAGCCTAGTGAGAGCCGAGAGGGCAGAGCGGGCTGGCCTCCCCGCCACTGCTGCCTGAAGATGCAGCATTTCTGTACCATCTCTGATCTCAGACCGGCCAGAAACCTCACTTGGGCCTGGAGGCTCAGCCACATACACTAAAAGGAGGTTGCAGGGGCTGGCCCAGTGGCGTAGCGGTTACATTCCCACGTTCCACTTTGGCAGCCCGGCATTCACAGATTCAGAACCCTGGGCGCGGACCTACGCACCGCTCATCAAACCATGCTGTGGTGGCGTCCCATATAAAGTAGAGGAAGATGGGCACGGATGTTAGCCCAGGGCCAGTCTTCCTCAGAAAAAGGAGGAGGGTTGGCAACAGATGTTAGCTCAGGGCTAATCTTCCTCACCAAAAAAAATAAATAAATAAAAATAAAATAAAATAGAAGGAGGTTACTCCCGTCTTCAAAGGACTTTTAGCATCTACGTCCTTCACACATTAACTCATGGACATCCCCTGGGCAGTGGCAATGGAGAACGCATGAATAAGAGCAGGTCCCCGAATGTGAGGGGTCCCCACAAGCCCTTTCAATGCATCATACAGACAGCATTAGGTGGGTGCCGGGGGCTTACCGATATGGTTTAAACCACACCCCCAGCCCTGCAGAAGGCTCCGCTGACTCTCCCCTCCAACCTCCGGGCCTCCACTCTGGCCAGTGTCCCCGTTTCTCCTCTGCCCAGTCCAACCCATCCTTCAAGGTCTGCCTGAGATACCGTGCCCCCCAGGAAGTGTCACCTCCTCCTCCTCGTGCTCCTCCTGCCCCAGCTGGGGTGCCGGGGGGCTGCATGCTCCTGGAAGCTGCATGGGGCAGGCATTAGGAAATGAAGGGGCATCGAGGCAGGCAGGGCTGGCGCCATCTTCCTGGGAGCCCCTTTGCAGTTACTGCGAGCAAGGACAGCCCCCCAAGGGGCGTGGGTTTGAATCCTCACCCCCTCACGTCCTTGCCTCGCCCCCACTTATCAGCTTAAAATGTTGTGGTTTTCCTGTCAGAAGAGATTTTTTTTCATGACTTCTCTTCCTCTGGGCTCAGAGAAGGAAGACATCACTGAGGACGTTGAAGGGAGAGAGGCGGGCCCTGTCCCATCAGGGGCCCTCTGACATCAGCTCACTTCAGGCCCAGCCTCCAGCAAGGGAGCTGAGAGGAGCCTGCTCCTGTCAGCTGGGAGGCAGGAGACTCCTGGCCGGAAAGTGGGCAGCGGGTAGGGATGCCAAAGCAGGGACGTGAGGTGGTGCATACTACATGGTGGGGAGAGTACAGAAGGAGATACTTCTGTATACTCAATTTAGGTTGAGCATCCTGAGAGCCAAGTCAAAAAGGGCAATGGGATGAGCTACACAGGAGGTCACTGGTGACTGATAACAGAGGGTAGAGGTCTGCATGGGGGCCTTGTCCTCCACATGTGATGGAGACACAACAAAGGAGAGCTCGAGGAGATCTTGGTGACGGTTTCCCTGAGTGGCAAGAGGGGAGGAACCCGGGAGTGATAGAAGAGCTAGGAGAAACCATCTTTTCTGGGTCTCATGGGCACAGAAAGTCTTTACATGGTCCCCAAATCCTCCCTAAGATCTGGGTTTAAGGCCATTCACTGGGAGAGTCTTTGCCAACCCCCAGTGGGCTGCCTCTGGTCCCGGGAAAAACTGAGGTCCTCCCCTCAGCCCCAGAGCTGAGGCTGCTTCCTGGAAAGTCTGGGGCCAAGAAAGAGAGAGGTGGTGTCCTGGGCCTGTCGTGTGAGCGGAACTGTCACGGCCTGAAGGTGCCAGTGTCAGGAACAGGTGGGGCTGGGGCAGGAGGGTCTGCTGCCCAGAGGTGAGCGGGCAGGGGACCTGGAGCCATCAGAGCCTGTAATCCTGCCCAGCTGTCCCAGGCAGAGTGAGCACCCGCATCTATGCAGCCCCCGAGGCCCAGCAAGCTTGTGGGGGCAAATGGGAGCCTAAGGCGAGCATGGACTTTGTTGCCATCAGGACTGTCCCAGGGCGGGAACAGAGGCTTCAGCATCCACCTGGCAGTGTGGTGGGCTCAGGCAGGGGCTACCAGCATCCAGTGGGGGGTGGGGGAAGGACCAGCTGCTCTCAGATGCTGTGACTCCTTAGAGCCACCCCAGGCCTGGGAGGAAGGGCCTGAGGCCACGGGCCAAGGAAGGTGGGGCACAGATGGGTTTGGAGTGGAGAAAGGCCTTGGTATGTATCCAGTGCTGTGTTTGTCATTCTGGGCTATGAGCTTGGGGACACTGGGGAAGAGAACCAGGCATTGCCCCTGTTCAGTGGGCTCACAGTTCACTGAGGTGACAGACACTGAATGCATCAGCCCAAGGTGACAGCAGGGGCAAGACAGAAGAGGAAGCTAGGCAAAGATGCTGCACCTCAGGGAATTAGCATGTGCAAAGGCCCTGAGGCAAGAAGAAACATGGTATATGGAAGGAACTGGTAGATGGCCAGATGACTCGGGGGCAGAGAACAGGGCTGACAGGTGGGAAGTGAAGCTGGAGGGATAGAGGTGATGGGGCAGGGGCTAGGGTGGTGGCAGTGAGAGGTGGACAGACAGGAGACTTAGGAGGTAAAAAAGAAGGTGGTGTAGGTGGAGGGAAAGGGTAGAGCCAAGGATGGCTCCTGGTTTCTAGGGTGCATAACCCAGTAGACGGTGCTGCCTTTGCTGAGAGGGGAGCCCTGCAGGGGGAGCATGTTCATGGGGTGCCAAGTCCAGTTTTGGACACTCTGAGGTGTCTGTGAGATGCGAAATCCAAAAGGAGGTGAGGACCAGGCAACGGGTGTGCAGGCCCCGAGCCTGGGAGGGGTCTGGGCAGGGTGTGGTCATGAAGGAGTTGGGGGCCCGCGGATGGTGTAGGTGAGAGGTGGGGGGGTGGGGAGAGGAAGGGCCATGCTGAGCCTAGAGAGGCTCTAACCACGGACAGGGAGACTGAGGCAGGAGATGAGTGTGTGGGGAAGGAGAGGGATTGGAGGTGTAACCACTGGCAAGGGGTCAATTCTGTCAGAGAAGAATCCTGACCCTGCCCAAGGCAGGGGGGCTCCCCATGGTAATCACCCCTCTCCTTCCTCTGCTGAGAAGCAGAGCGCGGGCCTTGACCAGGCCTCACCGGGGTCCACCTCTCACCAGTCGTGTGGCCATGGGTGGGCTGCTTCACCTCTCTGACCCTTGTTTTTCTCATCTGTGAGACGGGGATAATGAGGGTCCTCTGCCTCGCAGAACTGGGAGGATTAATAATTTGGGCCAGAGGGTCTCACGTTTGAATGTGCATCAGCAGCACCTGGAGGCTTGTTAAGACAAGTGTGTGGCCCCCACTCTGAGTTCCTGCTTCAGAAGGACTGGGGTGGGGCCTGAGAATCTGCATTTCTAACAAGCTCCCGCCTGATGCAGATGCTGCTGGTGTGGGGACCACACTTAGGGCAAGTGGTCTGGCATTGACTAGACCCCCACAGTTCTCCTCTAGGCCTAGATCCCGGTGGGTCTTGCCAGGTTGCTGTTCCTCCTTGGCCTCAGTTTCCCTAACCGTCCAATGGGAGGAGGCAGCCCCCATTCAAAGCCTGCCTTGCAAGGATTTCGGGAGATGCAGGTGGGAGGGCTGGAGCCCAGGGCTGTCCCGGCTGGGCGTCATGCGGCCATATGGCCACCAGGGGGCGGGCGCGCTGCTGGGTATAGACGCGGCGACGGGAGCGGAGGGGCTCCCTCCGACCGGACACTTCACTGCTGGAGCACCTCTGTGTGACCCCAGCAAGCCTGGCCACGCTCTGGCCTCAGTTTCCCCGTCTGCCTCGATTGACTGCGGCTCCTCGGGCGTCCCGGTGAGGAGGAAGCCGCAGCATATTTTGCCTCCTTGGTTAAGGGGCTGCAAATGCAGGCAGAGAATCTGACCCGAGTGTCTGCAGCCTCCACCCTCCTCTCTGTGCACGGGGAGACTCGGCACCCCTGGGCGCACGCTGGGGCACAGGCCCGGGCGCCCCTCACACACGCGCTGGCGAACGCAGGTCTGCTCCTCATGGCCACGCAGGCTGCAGGGAGAGGGGAAGGGGGCCCTTCCCCTTGAGGCAGCTGGGGCTGCCTCAAGGGACCCCTACCTGAAGGCGAATCCAGTGGGGTGTTTCTGTTAAGAGGGGGCACGCGGAAATCTCCTGGGCAGGGCACTTGGGAGGTACTGCTCAGGTCAGGCTCAGGGGCCCTGGGGGACCCCCCCCAGGACTGAGGGGGTGTGCAGAGGTGAGCTCAGGGGAGGGCTGCACAACGGGGTCCTGATAGAGTTGATTTACACACGTAAATCCATTCAATCCTCACAACCATCCTGTTTGTGTTGTTATTGTCCCTATTTTACAGAGGGGGAAACTGAGACACAGAGAGGTTAGAGAACTTGCCCAAGGTCACACAGACAGTGAGTGGTAGAGCCTGGATTGAACCCAGGCCGTGTGGCTCCAGGGTCTGCCTTAATGCCTGTGGGGGTCCAGAGCAGGAAGCCCCTGCCCAGGTCCTGCTGGTTTCCTGGGCTGGGATTCCCAGTCACCTCCCTCCTCTGTCGTGATGGGGAGGTCACCCTCTGAGAGGCACTGCCCCTGAGAGCTGATGGGCCAGGAGAGTCTCTCTCCCCTGTCGGTCCTGTTTCTGACCAAGGAGCAGTCTGTCTCGTGGGGTCTCATTACTGATCAGCAGATAGGACTGGGTCCTCTGTGGGCTCTGAGGCCTTTGCTTGGGCCTCAACTCCACTCGTGGCTGGAGGAGTTGGGGGAGCCCCCTGGGCAGGGCTGCTGGATAAAATACACAATGCCCAGCTAAATGTGAATTTCAGATAAACAACAAATACTTTTGAATGTAAGTGTGTTCCAAATATTATATGGGGCATAGTTCAACCCAAAAAGTATTTGTTGTCTATCTGAAATTCGAACTTGACTGGGTGTCCTGTGTTTTCATTTGCTCCATCTGGCAACTCCACCTCGGGCGTCACGCCACCCCCCTATGCCCAGGGCCAGCCTCTTCCCTCCTGCTCTCCTGGCGCCGCCCTGCAGTGGACAGCACCTCGTCTCAGCTCCGGACTGGCCACTCTGCTGCCTCCTGACTTCTGCTGGGTTCCCTCAGGCACCCCAAGCTCAGTGCACCCTGAAGTAGACTCCCCATCTTCCCTCCTGGGGCCCCTCTCAGAGGTGTCACCACCGTCCACCCAGCCACCCAGCCACCCAGCCCAGGACCAGGGGGGCCTTCAGCCTCTTGCTGTCCTCACCTCATCCTATTTGTTCTGTCCTAAGGCCCCCACATCTCTCCTCTCCTGCTCGCCCACCCCCTTCTCCCCCATCCACCCTCCTCCAAAAGGTCGTCAGGCCACTGAGTCTGAGCCCTGCCCCCTCCGCTTCAGCTGGTCCTAAAGAGGGGAGGGCACTGTGGGGGGACAGGCTCCAGGGAGGGAGGGCCCTGAAGACATGCAGAAGCCAGGAGCATTCGGCCACAGTGGGGAGGTGTGATTGCTTTATAATTCCCAAAGAGAGCTTTGCCTTCCAGAAATCCCAGCTAGGGCTCTGAATGGATGGTCACCCACTGTCTGGCTAGAGGGTCCCTTGGATCTAGGTCAGTGTGTGTGAGTGACCTAGGGCCCTCTTGCCAAAATAAAAGTCCCTGGGGCCATCAGGGACTTGAGGTTCCGCTGCGCTCCTCCTGCCGACCCTGGGCTTTCTGTTTTGCAGCTCCCTGAGGGCCTCCTTTGACTCCCTGAAGCAGCGTAAGTCCGACTGTCCCCCACCCCAGGCTGCAGTGTGACAGGACCTTCTGGGAACACCCATATCCCCCATAGATGGAGGTGGATGGATTCTGGCCGGGATAGGGGAGTCGGGCTGTACGCAGGGCTGCGAGGCTGGTGGAGGATGTGACCGAAGATGAGGCGTGGGGTGAGGGCTGGGCTGGTCCAGGCACAGGGCGAGTATGTGGGTGGCCGAGGCCCGTCAGGTCCGACATCGGGGACCGACATCCTTCCTCTGCCCCCAGAAATGGAGAATGTGGGCAGCTCCCACATCCAGCTGGCCCTGGCCCTGCGCGAGGAGCTGCGGAGCCTTGAGGAGTTCCGCGAGAGGCAGAAGGAGCAGAGGAAGAAGGTGAGGTGGTGCTGGGGCTGGGCCCCGGGTGGGAGGTGGCCATTGTAGCTGTGAAGGTGGTGGAGGATGGGCCCTCCTGACGGAGCCGATGGAGGGTGCGGGGCTGTGCCCCAGGCTGGAGGGGTGAGGGTGATTTGAAGGAGGAGGGGAAGGGCCTGGGCAGAGGCCAGGCCACTGGAACCAGGGCCCAGCTCTCAGGTCCGAGAGCCCCCCTGGGGGTCTTCCCCCTGAGCCAACTCACACCAGAAAGAGGGAAAGACATCGGTCTTTTGGATTGTCCTACTACAACAGACTGGAGAGGGTCACTGACAGCCTCGGGGTATCCAACGGAGGCAACCTAAGTTGGGGAGTCACCAGAACCTTGTCCTGAGCCCAAGCATCAGGGCTGTTTGTCCAGAAGAAAGACAGACTTGGGGGTCAGTTACTGCAGCCACTCTGCAGGGCTCCCAAGGCTGAGGGGGCAGACAGAGCCTGCGGGGAGTGGGTGCTGTCAGGCTTACCTTAGCATCCAAAGGTATTTCTCACCCATGTGTAGGGCATGGCTGTCCCTAGATGGAGGGACTGCATGGAAAAGAAGTGCAGTCCCCATCATGGAAGGTATGCAAGGAGAGGCTGGAGGGAAGCTGTCAGGGAAGCTGCAGGGGTGGGGTGGGAGGCAGGCTTTGTGACCTCTGTGTCCCAGGGCCTCCTTCCAAGCTAAGTCTCTCTGATTGGCTGAGCACCTGGCCCGCTGGGGGGGCAGGTGGGGACATGTGCTCAGCCTCTCAGGGCCTTAGCGGTGAGGTGATGTCCCAGAGGGTGGGAGAGGCCAGCACACAGAAAACACTTCTTACTTGGAGAGGAAGGATCATTGTAAACTGTCCCAAGAATTGAAAATGGAAAAGTCCACACACCTGAGCAGGGAAGGGGAAGACGGTGCCAGCTCATGGTTGGGACCAGGCTGGACCTGGGTGTCCTGGCTGAGTGGCTTCCCCTCTCTGTGCCTCAGTTTCCCTCTTGCAGGATGGGACATTTATGTCTACCTCCCAAACTTTGGGGACCCAGCCCAGAACCAGGCCCCCCTCAGTTCTCAAAGACAGGGTGCCTGCTCTGATGAGTGGCTCTGACCACAGAAGCTCAGCGTGGCTGCAGTTCCTGTCTGCCCATCCGGCCAGCCAGGGTCTCAGGCTTTCAGGATTCTAAATTTGGGTTCCCGAGCAGACAGTGGGTCCCCAAAACTAGCCCCAGAAGCCGGCCCAGCCTTGAGGTGCTAGAGCAGGCAACCTCTCTGAGCTGGGCCTTGTCTGCAGAGGCCCTGGGCAGGCTATTTTGAGCTCTCCTGTGGCCAGAGGGGCTGTGATGTCTGCAAAAGCTGTTTTGGACAAAGTGATGCCTTCCCCAGAGCGGCCGGGGTCCCCGCAAGCAGAGAGCTGTGATATAGCGTGTGGAAAGCCTGCCTAGGTGTGCGTGTGTACAAGTGTGTGTGTGGGTACGTGTGTGCGCAGAACATGGCACATCTGTGCACGCCTGTGAGTATGACCCTGTGTCTCAGTGTGTTTGTGTGTGCCCAGCTGGCTTGCTGGAGGTCTCCCCACTGGCAGGGGCCCACTGAGACCCCAGGCACACACCGGCTCCAGCCCCAACACAAGGAGCATTTCATTTCCCTTCTCCTGATACCTTGTACCCAATCTCTGTCCGGGCTGAGTTTCATCCTCTCTATCTGAGCAAGGGCCCTGCGAGGGGAGGTGGGGTTGCAGTGGCCCCGTGTGCCCGTGTGTGGCCATGACTAAGTTTGGTGTGTGTGCTCACCTGTGCAGACAGGCCCGTGGCTGTGCGTAGGGGACATGGGAGAGTGTACATGTGTGTACTTGTGAGTGTTGTCTGTGGGTGCTCTGTGAGTGTGCCTGTGAAGGCCTGTGTGTGCAAATGTGAGCAGTGGGAGCATGGGGGCCTGTTAGTGTGTAGTTCTGTGTGTGTCATGAGGAACTTTGTGTGCATGCCAGAGTGTGTCCACAGTGTGTGACAGCCATGAGCAGGTACAGGGGCTTGTGAGTGAAGGACAGTGAGTGTGTGTGTACATGTAGGTTGGGTGTTCCCCAGCTAGAGATCCAGTCCTGGCTGGGTCTGCAGGGAGGGGACACGATGGGTGTATCCATGCCCAGGGCCTCTCTAGCCTTCTGCTCTGCGTGGTAACTGTGAACCAGTAGGCCGTGGGAGAGGGGGCATCTTGTCGCTGCCCCATTCAGAGCCAGGAGGGGATGCTGCGCCTCATCCCAGGGACACCCCATCCTCTTGGCCTAGGGGAGCGTCCTGAGGCCACGGCCCCCCGCTCAGACCCTCGTGTCCCCTGCAGTACGAGGCCGTCATGGACCGTGTCCAGAAGAGCAAGCTATCACTCTACAAGAAGACCATGGAGGTGAGTGCGAGGGTCTTGGGCCTGGAAGGCGGCAGGGCTCAGGGTATGGACCCCAGGAGGCCTGTGCTGGGCACCTGGGACAGGGTTTGGCTCTGCCAGCAACACACATGTGGCCTGTCGGGTGCTCAGGGCTGCACTAGGTGCCAAGGCCCCATGCGGATCGGCCCAGGCCTTGCCCCTGGGGGGCTTCTGCCCGATAGGCAGGTGGTCGGTCCCAGACAGTGGCCCACAGGATGATCCACGCTGACCACTGGGGACTCCAGGGGTGGAAGAAGAAGGGATCCCTGAGCTGTGTCACCTAGGACACCACGCGAGGAGAAAGAGGGCTCCACAAGAGGGGACAGGATTTGCAGAGGCTGGCATCATGGGGGTGCGTGGCGTTTTCAGGGACCTGCTACTGGTTTGCTGTGACCACGCCTCTGAAGAGGCCGGGGCTGTGGGCAGGGTACTGTCCCCAGTGGGAAGGGGCCTGGGAACCACACTCCCTTCTTTGTCTCCGTTCTAGACCCCAGATCCTTGTCCCTGGTGGGGACATACCATCCATAGCCCCCCAACAGGGAGAAGGGAGGCTGGGCTCAGGGAGCCTCACTCTGGGGCCCCCAAGTCACGCCTCTCCACACCCCCAGTCCAAGAAGACATATGAGCAGAAGTGCCGGGACGCGGACGATGCCGAGCAGGCCTTCGAGCGCATTAGTGCCAATGGCCAGCAGAAGCAGGTGGAGAAGGTGGGTAGGGCCACCGAGGCTGTGTGGTGTCACCCACGGCTGGGGCAGGGGGTATGGCGCAGGTAAGGGGTGCCACAGACACGCCCCGGCAAGGTCTGCATCTGGGACATGCTGGCTGCTCACCCCTCTCTGAACCTCGGTCTCCCCATCTGTGAAGTGGGTCTCCTAGAATCTGGGGAGTAGATAGCCGGGTGATCTTGATCCCCTTTGCCATCTCCAGGCTGCACCCAAGGACCCATTCCTCAGAGCGGGCCCCTGCGGCCCAGGCCCAGAGCTCACAGGGCAGTGAGAGCAGATGCTAACCCTCACACAGCCCTGGGAGAGGGGATCAGTAGGCCCATGTCACAGAGAGGAAACTGAGGCCCAGAGATGGTGAGTGATTTGTCCAAGGTCTCAGAGCCAGGAAGCAACAGAGAAAGGATCCAAACCCAGGTCGTCCACAGCCCAAGCTCTCAACTGCTCTGGCCTCTGGGCCAAGGGTCTCAGAGCCACCAGGCCCAAGAACACGTCATCCATTACACAGACAGGAAAGCTGAGGCCCAGAGAGGGTAGGGGCCTGCGGGTGGGTTGGGGGCAGTAAGTTGGGGGCCAGAGCTCAAGCCCCAGCCAGTGGGTTCAGCAGCGGCCACATGGGGCCTCAGGGCCCGGCCCCTGGTGTCTGTTTCTTCCTCTAGGTCTTGACATCTGTTTTTCGCCTGTATCTGCATGGGCTGTGGGTTTCTGTTTTTATTCCTTTTTTATTGGAACGAGCCTGTGGGACTCTGTGGGGTGAGGCTGGAGTAAAGGATGGAAGCTGCCCACGGCTGGCTCCTGAGTGTGGCCCTGGGTGGCCAGGGAGGGTGTGACAGAAGCCCTTCAGGGCTGCCCAGGGAGGCTGGGCGCCCAGGGGCGGGCAGGGTGGTTCCTGGGGCTCAGCGCTGCCTTCCCTCTGTCTCCTCAGAGCCAGAACAAAGCCAAGCAGTGCAAGGACTCGGCCACGGAGGCAGGTACGTGGCCAGCCCGCTTCCTCAGACTGGGCGTGGGGCCTGGACAGTCCTCCCCCCACTGCACACTCCCTGGGGGCACACACACTCACACCTGACGACACAGAGTCACATGCTTGTCACTCTCACTTCCATACTTATGCAATCAAAGTAAAAACATTCGTTTTCTCTCATTTGCCAAGACTGTTCTTGGTGCTTTGAATGTTTTAACTAACGTTTAACTCACACAACAATCCTATGAGATGGCTGCTATTATTATCCCCTTTTTTAACAGAGGAGCAAATGGAGGCACAGAGAGGTTAAGTAACTTGCCCAAGGTCACACAGCCAAGTGGTGGTGTCTGCATTCAAACCCAGGCCGCCTGGCTCCAGAGCCCAGGACTTTCACAGCCACACTCATGGGAGACAGACCCACTCATACATACACTGACACGCACATGTGCACACACTGCCTTCTTGGGGCCTCTGTCCCCTCTATCCTTCACCTGATGCCAGAACCCCCCCACACCCCTTATCCCTGCTGGCACACTTCCTAGGATAGAGCGCTCACCCCTGCTCCCTTCCCCTGGGAAGACTCTCCCTTCTGCTCTGCCTTTCCCAAGACCCAGCTGCCCCCTTAGCTGGGGGCCAGGTGATGCCCAGAGACCTGGGGATGGAAGTCATGGCCCAAGCCTGCTGGGTTCCCAGCCCAACAGCTCCCTATGCTCCCCACCACTCCTCCTTCAGTGAGCCTCAGTTTCCCATCTGCAAAGTGAGACGGTCGGACCCGGGGATGGCAAAAGGCCTGGACTCTGACCTTGGGTGTACGAGGCTCTTCTCCAGCCCCAGGTGGCTCAGAGCCCAGCGGGGAGCTGCGAGTCACCCTGGAAAGAGCAGGAGCAGAGTGGGTGGCCCTGATGAGCGTTCAGATGAGGCACCAGCAGCCAGGGCAGATCTCTCCAGGGAGGAGGAGGGGCCCCAAGGATTCGGGGGAGGAGGGCACCCCGGGGAAGGGGCACTGCGGGAGCAAAGGGGTGGGGCTGTGGGAGGCTGTCTATGCCACTGGCCCCCTGGGGGCCTCTGTGCTTCCAGAGCGGGTGTACAGGCAGAACATCGAGCAGCTGGAGAAGGTGCGGGGCGAGTGGGAGCAGGAGCACCGGACCACCTGTGAGGTGAGGGGCCCCAGGCGTGGAGCCTCCATTTCCCAGGCTACAAAGTGCGAAAGGCGTTCGTCCTGCTTTAGACACTCCGTGGGGGGACATGAGGCAGTGGCAGGGAAAGGCCTCATTCCTTCCTTCATTCACTCATCTGCTCATGCCCCAGGCCCTGTGCTAGGGCCCTGCCCAGGCTGCTCCAGCCTGGTTTTGTGCCCTGGGTCCCTTTGTGCAGACAGGTATCCTTCACTACTTTTTGCTGAAGCTGAAACTGAGGCTCAGACAAAGCCCATGGCTTCCCCGGGCCCTGCTGATGGACAGGGCCCGGGAGACAGGCCTCAGGATTCCGGGTCCAGTGTGTGGTGGGGCCTGGAGGGAGAGCGGGGGCAGGAATCCCACAGGCAGCTCAGTCTCCCTTCCCAGAACCTCCGGGGTGGCCCAGAGGTGGGGGTGGGGACCCCCAGGAAGGGTCTCTCCTTTAGACTTGGCTGTCAGCAGAGGGGTTTGGCTGGTCAGCCCCAGCTGAGCCGTGAGTGGGGCCCAGGCTGGCCTGGCCCTGCAACCCCCTCCTCCTGTCTCACCTCCCTCCCCACCCCCCCAGGCCTTCCAGCTGCAGGAGTTTGACCGGCTGACCATCCTCCGCAACGCCCTGTGGGTGCACTGCAACCAGCTCTCCATGCAGTGCGTCAAGGACGATGAGGTGGGGCTGAGGGCAGGAAGGGTGGGCAGCGTGTGAGGAGAGGGCGGCCTCTGGGCGACAGCACCCCCAGGTCCACCTGAATCCATCAACAAACACCTAGTCCTCTGCAGTCCAAGCCCTGGCCCCAGGGGTCTCCAACCTCAGTGCTCAGCCTTGGCCCCAGGGCCCCACGGACAGGGAGCTCAGAGTGCACAGGGCTGCGGCCCCTCTGCCTGGAAGGCTGTGTTTGTGGTTGTCCTGGCTCTGCCTTCTTTGCTCGCCCCTGCTCCGAGGTCCTTGGCTCTGCTCTCAGAGCACCTGCTCCCTCTGCTGGGGTAGGAGGGGAGGTGGACACAGCCCCTCAGAGGTTTGCAGAGAGGCTGCAGGACTCTGGGCTGCCCTGCTCCAGGCCTGGCACCTCCAGAGCTGCAGTCCCTCCTCTGCCCCCCTAGAAATCTCAGGGGTGTCCTGGTTCCCCTCACTGAACTCTACATGCCGAGTGGGCTGGGGTGGGTCCTCCCCAGCAGACGGGGGCTGCCACCTCACTGCCAGGGGCCCTGACCTCTGATAATGCAGCCCTGGAGCCATGAGCTCTCCCTTGAGGTAGCCCTGACTCCCCGATGCCCACTGCTGTTCCTTGCCTAACCCCTTCTGCCCATGGGTTGTGGGGTTTTGGGGTTTTTTCCCCCCAAATAACTTGAGCCCACCTAGTGGCCTCCTTGTGGCAGAGGAAGGAGTGAGGGCTCTGCATCCTCTCCTACTGGATCCAAAGCCCAGCCACACCGAGTGCTTGCTCTGTGACCTTGGGCAAGTCCCTTTCCTGCTCTGAGTTTCCTCATCTACGAAATGGGGAAATAGTGTCTACCTCAGAGGACGGGAGTGTGGTAAGTCCCTTGCATGGACCTCGTGTCCAGTAGGTGTTCAGGAAACGGGAGAGGCTGTCGGCCAGGGCTCTGACCTCTCAGGCAGGCCTGGGGCAGCTACACCTCCAGGCCCCTGAACAGGTGCTGAGCTGCGCACACGAGGCCATGAGGAGGCGGGGGAGTGGGGGCCCCTGGCCGGAGTTCAGACCCGCAGAGGGGCAGGGCTTTGATGAGGTGGGCATGGAGGTGGCGCCCGGCCCCTCAGCCTCTGCTCTTTCCCACCCCCAGCTCTACGAGGAGGTGCGGGTGACGCTGGAAGGCTGCAGTGTGGACGCCGACATTGACAGCTTCATCCAGGCCAAGAGCACGGGCACCGAGCCCCCGGGTGAGGCCCGGCCCGCGGGCAGCTCAGCCTCTGGGTCCAGGCCCGCCTGCCCCTAGAAGGCCTGGCCCCAGGTTCTCGGAGCCTCAACTGCCGGGACAGCGCTGGGGGTGCTCACAGCTCGCTTCTGGGTGGAGGAGCCTTGGCCAGACCCAGGGGAAGGGTCGAGAGCAGTGCAGTCCCCTGGCTGGGTGCCTGGCCTGCTGCCTCCTTGGAGGTGGAGGATGAGCAGAGCTTAAGAACACTATACACTCAGAAGGAGGAGATGAGGATGGGGAGTAGAGGTGGGGAGCCTTCTCAGAGCTCCACCCCCAGCCTGTTTGGTCCGACTAAATCACGAGTCTGGAATATTTGGTCTTGGTGGTACCTACAGTGGGTGGGCCCCCGGCCAGCATGGGAAGGTGGGCCCCAGTCTGGGTCTCTGGATGGGGACAGGTCAGGGTGTCAGGTGGCACAAGTCCTGCCTGCCCTGCCCTCGCTGACCCTGGGCCTCACGGGCCTGCTGTCCACAGCTCCAGTGCCCTACCAGAACTACTACGATCGGGAGGTGGCCCCGGCGTCCAGCAGCCCTGGCGTCCAGCCGTCCTGCGGCATGATAAAGAGGTAAGGTGCCCAATGGATGCAGAGGCGGGGGGCTGGGTGGGGAATGCCAGGAAGCGGGTCCAGCCTCTCCTCCTGCAACTGGCTCTCGCACACACATTTATTGAGCACCTACTGTGTGCCTGGTATGGCGTTTAGGTGCTGGGCACTCTTTGGGGACAAGACAGGCTCAATCTAGCCTCATGACACCCTCAGCCCAAGGGGACCTAGGCATTAAACAAATAATTACACCCACTTATTCACTGTGTTCAGAGCTCTGGGAGGCCCCAGGCTGGCTTGTCCCAGCAGGGCCCTGCTGCTAGCCTGGGTTGGTGCCCTGGGCTGTCAGCTGGCATGGGATCAGGGCATAGGAGCAGGTCTTGCAGCCAGTACTTCTGGAGAATTCTCCAGGCTTTTCCAGGGCCCCTTCCCTGGCCTGGCTGCAGTAGGTGCCAGGGCCCTAGTGCCATGCCTCAGTGTGTCACCTGCACAGGTCATGCCCTTCTCTAGGTCCAGGGCCCATGAGTATAGGGGTCAGACTCAGAACCTAAGATCCCTCCTGGTTCAGGAGTTGGGTGACGACAGTGACAGCCTAGTGGGAGTGCCACAGCCTGTTGAGGGAGCCCCAGCAGCCAGGTCCCTGACGGGGCCACGTGCCCCATCTGTGGGCATCTGTGAGCATCCATGGGTTTCTCATGTTGTCTGTGGCCGGCCCACACCCTGAGGCCTCCGTGACCTCCTCTCTCCATCTGACCTAGTGCAGGGAAGCGCCTGCCTTTGGGAGGTGGGTGAGGGTGGGGTTGACGGAGTGCCCGGCCCTCCAGGACAGCTCATTTCTGAGGCCTCAGGAGCCCCTGGAGCCACCTGTAGGAAGTCTCCTCGGAGACAGAGGCTCGTGGAAACCACCAGCCCTCAGGGCAGGGAGCACAGCACGCCCCTCCAAGAACCTTGAGAAAGCCATGATGACCCCAGGAGGAGGGCATTCACACCCTCACAATCTTACCAAAATCTGGGGGAATCAGGCCTCCCTGCCCCACCCAGTGAGGACCTGGGTCCCAGCACGGGTGGTCATTTCACCAACTGGATGGAAGACAGTGGGAGCAGTGTCAAGAAAGGACAGAAAGGGTGCCCCATGGGGATGAAAGAAAGAGAGAGAGAGAGGTCCCACCGGGTGGAGGAGGCCTGGCTGCTGGAGAGGATGGGCAGTGGCCATGTGTGGGGCAGCCAGAAGCCAGGCAGGGGGAGCGGCAGGGGGCAGTGGCTGGGAAGTAAGTGGAGGGAGGAATTGGAGTCGCAAGTGTAGGCAACTCTGGGGAAATGGTGCAGTGGGGCAGGGCGCACATGGGCCTCAACAAGCTCTGCTCCTGCCAGCCACAGCCCTGGGGGCTTTAACCCGGCCCCCGGCTGTCCAAGGGGCGAGAGTGTCATCGGCGCTATGTCTGCACCGCCTGTGTTAGGCTTTAGACCTCATGTGTCCAGATCCACACACGCATGTCCATGTGCTCCCATCCTGGGCATGTGTCCACTCCTGGCCCCTCGGCTCCACAAACCCTGTGTGTGTGTGTGGGGGGGGGCAGGGAGGTGGGCTAGACTCTCCTGCCAGTGGGAAAGGCCCCTCGTGTCCCACCTGGCACTGCAGGGCAGCCTCCCACAGGCCCTCGTCACAGCCCAGCCCCTCGTCACAGCCCCTTGGGTGTGGCCCAGTCCCTGTTTCAGCCCTGTCTCCCACACACCCCAAACTGGTCCGCTCCACTCCCCAAACTCCTCCACTTGCACCTTTGCACCCCCTCTCCCGTTCACCGGCAATGCCTTGCACCCCAGTCTCAGCCTGTTAAAGCTGAGTCTTTCAAGACTTAGCTCGACCACAGCAGGAAGCCTTTCCTGATGCAGGCTAGTCAGATCAGCCTCTATTTATTCAGCCCTTAGCACTGGCTGCTTCATGGGGTGCCCCCATCTGCTCCCCGCTAGGTCCCCCAGTGGCTGCCTCTTGCTTGTTCCGTTCTTTTCTTTATTCAACAAAGCTTCAGGACTCTGGCTAAGTCCAGGCCTGAGCCAGGCGCAGGGGAAGGGGTGGATAAACCCAGCGGGTGCTGAGAAGAGGGACAGCATGAGGGACTGGGAGGCGCTGCTGGGGAAGGAAGGGCCACTGGGCCCACCCTCTGGGGATTCCTCACGCCTGAGGGGCACCCCATAAATCACATCTGCACCTGGAAGCTAGGGGCATCCCCAGCCCTGGAGCTCTGAGGGCTCCCCGCCTCACCCCCTCCCTCCAGGACCTCCCCGCTTTCCTCCCCGTCTCCAGGTTCTCCGGGCTGCTGCATGGAAGTCCCAAGACCCTGTCATTGTCAGCATCTGCGGGTAACTGGGGGTGACGTGGGGGGAAGGAGAGGACACTTACGTGGCAGAAATGGGCCCTCCAACAACTGGGGAAGTTGGGGGATGGGGAGATGCTGAGCCAAGTCTGGGGAGCTCTATGCCAGGGGGCCCTCCAGGAACCACTATCCTTTGAAAGGGGTGGGCTCCAGGCCTCACCCTGCTCTCAACCTCCACAGAGACCCCAACCCCCACCCCCAATCGGAATGAGGGTGTCTACGCCACCATCGCAGTGCAGGAGGCACCAGGACCCCCCACCCTGCCAGCCCAGGACTACAGGGCGCTCTATGACTACACGGCCCAGGTGAGGCCCTCGCCCTCCTATCCCCCTCAGGAGGGCACAGGTATGCCCGAGTGTGTGTTCATACATAGGCATGTGCACTGCAAGTGTGCTGGGGTGTGTGCCCTTAGAACAACACCCAGCGTTTGGGAGGGGCTCGGTACGTATCTGCTGAGCAAATGTTGACGAATGGGTACAAGGGCTTGTGTCTGCCTGAATCTATTCACATGCATCCACATGATGTCTAGGCAGGCACGGGCACTGTGTGTGTGCGTGTGTGTGTACACGTGCAGGCAGGTTGACAGCGCCTGGGGCTACCTGCAGGACCCTCGGGTTAGGGCCTTGTTCTCTGTGGCCATGGGTGCTGAGAACAAGCCACAGCCAGAACAGGTCCCTCAGCTGAGCCAGGGTTGATTTTCTGAGATCCATGGAGAGAGGGCAGGTCAAGGAGCCACAGGGCAGCTGTGCCAAGATCCCCAGAGAGTCCAGTCTGCTCCCTGCTTTGAGGTGAGGGGTACAGAGCTGGACATCAGATCCACCCGGACTGAGGCCAAACATCTCCTCGGGGCTAGGCAGGCTGCACCCTGGGCTGCACTGACTCCCAGAGCCTGGTCCCTGGCCGGACAGACAGACCAGGAGAATGATGATGTGCCTGTCTGACGGGGGCAGCAGGGCTGGGGAAGCACAGGGGAGCTCCCAGCAGAGGGGCAGGCTGTGTGCAGTGAGCCTGGAGTGCTTGGGGCCTGGTGAGCACACCTGACCCTGGACTTGCTAAGGTCGCTGTGTGTCTGGAGCAGAGTGGGAGAAGGGAGCAGAGCAAGCAGGAGTTGTGGGAAGCCCACAGTGACAAACCAAGGGGGACAGGAGGCCGAGTCCCATGGGGCCCCCCCATCCTATATGTCTCTAAGGGCTGCCCTGGCCCAGAGAGCAGCCTTGTCCTGAAGCCACAGGAGGCCAGGCACGTCTCAGCTGATGGCCCACCTGGGAGACAAGCTTGCATTTACTGCCTGGGGTGGGGCAACGCTCGCTCAGAGCCCTCCCAGCAGGCCCCTCCAGCCTGACGTGCTCTCATTCTGTTGCCCAGAATTCCGACGAGCTGGATATCTCTGCGGGGGACATCCTGGAGGTCATCCTGGAAGGGGAGGATGGCTGGTGGACAGTGGAACGGAATGGGCAACGTGGCTTCGTCCCTGGTTCCTACCTGGAGAAGCTCTGAGGAAGGGGCAGCAGCCCCCACCTGGACCTGCCCCGCTCATGGGGCCAGCAGCGCCCCCATCACTGCCCTGGCCCTGCTGGGGCTCCGAGACCGACCTACCCCTCCAGGACAGCCGCTGGCCACTCCCCGGCGGTCTCTCCCAGAGAATAAAGGAGTGCATTTTTCTCATCCGTCTGCGAGGGTCCCTTTCTCTTCCTCCTGCCCTCACGTCCAGCGCTCAATTCAGAGGAGGCAGAGGGGTGAGGGGAGAAGTCTGGAGGGCAGAGCTTGCCCACTTCAGCGTTGACACTGAGGCCCCGGTGGGGTCTGTCCCAAGGTCTGCTGGGCTGGGGAGGAGCCCTGGCCCTGTCCCTGAGAGCTGGCAGACTGCCAAGGAGACACAGTCACAGGAGGGCAAATGGGAGAGGGCAGCAGGGGTCAGGGAGGATGGGGAGGGGCGAGGAAGAGGGGCTCGGGAGAGCTGGGATGGGGGAACCAGGCTTCCTGCGGGCAGCAGCAGACAGGACACAGGAAGTGAAGAGCATCAGCAGAGGGCAAGTGTGTGAGCACAGGGAGGAGGTGAGAATGCCTGGAACATTCTGGGGATGCCCCAAGCTCAGTTTGGGCCAGGAAATAGGAGATGGGTCCACTGGAGGTGGAGAGGCCGTGGTGCGGAGTCTGGGGAGACAGGTCAGAGGGTTGTGGAGGCAAGTGACCCTCAGTGTCACCCAGACACAGCTGGGGCCCAGGAAAGCCCCTGTTGCCTGTGCCCCTGCCTCTCACACATGGCACACCCTGCCGGGCAGGGGCTCCAGAGCCCATCTGGGCTGACCCGGGACACCAAGGTGGCCAAACGCCTCTTCTGTGCTTGATGCTCTGAGGCCTTTCTCTTTTTGTTTTTTTGTTTTTTTTTTTGGTGAGGAAGATCAGCCCTGAGCTAACATCAATGCCAATCCTCCTCTTTTTTGCCGAGAAAGACTGGCGCTGAGCTAACGTCCGTGCACATCTTCCTCTACTTTATATGGGACGCCGCCACAGCATGGCATGACATGCGGTGCATTGGTGTGCGCCCGGGATCCGAACCCACAAACCCTGGGCCACTGAAGCGGAGGGCATGCACTTAACTGCTTGCGCCACCGGGCAGGCCCCAAGGCCTTTCTCTTTTTGGATCCATGCCCCTAGCTTCTACTGCTGGCCAAGGCCTGCTGAAGCCCTGCTCCAGCCACCGTAGGCTCCCTCCACACCAGAGGCTGTAGGGGGAGAGCCAGTGGGAACTGGTCGCTCCTCAGTCCTGGGCCTCACCCACACTCACCTGTGGGAGCCCCAACACTCTACCAGCACAACAGGCCAGTAGCCCACTTGGACTCAAGCCAGACAGACTGTAGAGGGTGGGGTGTGGGACATTGGTTCTCCTCCACTGGGCACAGCTGGCGAGAAACTGCTGAACGGTGTTACTGTGCCCTGTAGACCATCTTTCTCTGGGACTGTTAATTACTTTACTTGCTCATTCATAAACCTTTGTGACCTGCCCCCTATGAGAGCAAGATGAGTAAGGCTCAGTCCGTTGCTTTATTCAAGGAGCCCTTGACCTGGTCCAGGGGACCAAACAGCCCAGAAGGTTAACAACAGTGCAGGAAATGTCTTGACAGGCAGAGCATTCATGAGGCTTCTGGGGACAGATGACCCGAGATAAGCCAAGGAAACGGGGACGCTGTTCCAGGAGAGGAAATGGGGGTTCCTTTTGACTCCTGCCTCCCTCTTGTAGCCTCAAGACAGGCAGGGAGAGGGTTCAAGCATGGGACAGAGAAAGGAGTGAGGGGCATCAATGGAATTCCCCAGGATTTAGAACTAGAAGAGACTCTGGGAGAATCTGATCTGACTTCCTGCACGACACCCTCCCCGCCACCCCTGGGGACTGGGCACTGGGCACCCTAGTCGGCTTCAACAGCTCAGGTGACAGAGATCTCATGACACCCATGGAAGCCTGCTTCCCACCGGTCCTGGCTCTGCCTGGCCGGCCGTCCACTTGGCAGCCATACGGAGGACCATCCGATGTGCCCAGGCAAATGTCAGATGCCACAGTGGCAAAAATGAGGGCTTTGACCAAGCCCTGCCCCAGGACAAGGACTAGGAGGGGGCTGCTCCTGTGTGCGCTGCAGATGTCCATCTTTATGCCCTCATCTTCATCACGTGAGCAAAAATGTGGATGTGATTAACAAACACGACGCCTGGTGAAGGAGGGGGATGGGCTTTCTTCTTTGGGGAGGGAAAGTGCCTTTGGATTGCGGCCTCTCACCCGTCTCAGGTGAGTGCGCACCTGGCAAGTCTACAGAGTAGTGAAAGGGTTGTTTACCGCCCAGGTATTATTCACGCTGGGGCCAGGCAGAGGTGAAAGGGCACGAGGCAGCCCCCCGGTGCAGGGTAGGACCCTGGAAGCAGGGCTCGGGCTAGCCCTCTGCTGATGTCACCCACCACTGCTTCCACCAGAGAGCGTGGCAGATGGGGTGGGAAAAGGCTTTGGGCCTCTGAAAAAAATCAGACAGGCTTAAATCCTTCCTGAAATGTCATCTTCCCTTGTAAAGCACATCCTATGAGAGAACTGACCAAACGCCCACACCTGTCCCCGACACATCTGAGGTTTATAAATAGGGATGTTTGGTGAGAAAAATGTAATCTGGTGCTTGGTCTTACACCCCCCTGAAGGAGAGAGAGGGAGAAGTCAGTGAAGAAAGACCAGGCTATGAAAATGCCTGGCTGGGCCAGAAATGCTGCCCGGAACAGCCTGTCAGCAGCCGCAGGGTAATGCAATCAAGGGATTTTGATGACTTGTGTGTGACTGGCACTGTATTTGATAATGGGAGGGAGGTGCTAAGATAAAGAGGTGCCCTCAAAGAGCTCACTCATGCCAAGAGGGGTACACAGACGCTATAACCCCTCTGACACAAGGTAGACAGTGAGCAGGGCAAGAGTGGGAGAGCAGGTGTGGGCTGGCCCACACACAGATGCTGATGGCTTGTCCCAGAAGTGGCAACTGGCCTAGAGAACAACTCTGGAAGAATGAGGGAGAGGGATCAACAGGACTTGGTAACTGATGGGATGTGAGACAGGAGTGGGAAGAGTGGAAAGGAAGGAGATGAGGAGTGCTTTCTGATCTGAGCCTTGAGGATGGGCAGGTCCTCCCCAGGTGGAGTAGGAGGTAGAGGAGGGGTAGCAGACAGGACAGAGCCTGAGCAAGGGCCTAGAAGAGGCAGGACAGCCAAGTAGACTGACCATCGGGGTCAGGTTGTGTATGGGCAGCCAAGGGGAAAGAAAAGAGGAGAAAGTTAGGTATCACTGCTTTATTTACTCCTTGAAAATACCTTGTCATCTTGATTGAGCATCCCATTCGACTGTACAGATTTTTTAAAAACCTTTGGCCTAGACATTTATCACCATCTCTGACAGGTGCAGCAGTATCGATGGGCCCCAGAGGGTGATGGGTAACGAGTGCTAGATAACAGAGCCTGCACTCCAGTCATTCAGGCAGCCAGAGATAGAACTGAAAGCAACTCTCGGGTCACAATTTATACCAGGAAAAAAACCCGCAAGTGAATCGAAGTCAGACTCACTGCCTCTGCAGCATTCTCCATTCTCTGTGCACCAGGTCACAACCTCAGCTGAATGGACAGCAGAGGAGATGGTGCCAGATAAAGAGGGAGTTGGCGTGTGTGTAGTTGGGTGTATGAATAACTGCAGCCCTCTTCCTGACAGAGGGCCCCTCAAAGACAGGATGCAGCAGGGGAAAGCACGGCCTCTCAAGTCAGAACATCAGGGTCTGAATCCAGGCTCAAGCTTTCTTCTGTGGTCTCAGGCCAGTCACGATTTCTCTGAGCCTCAGTTTCATCATCAGTAAGATGAGTGCATTAAGCCCCTCTGTAAGTTGCTATCCCTGTAAAGTTCAAATGAGATATAAGTACTAATTAAAAGCAAGAGATGACCTTTTGCAACAAAAAGGCCCAGGACCTCCGAGTCTTGGCTATAAGTCAGCAGCAACTTTGGGCTTGGCGTAATCATCATCACACAGCATGCCCCCCGGAGAGCTGTGGTTAGGTCAGTAAGTCCTTCCCAACGGAGACAAGGAGCACAAAAGCAGCACTGCACTATGTGGCCACACTGAAAGCAGCACTGAGGCCCAACACTTAATTCCAACCACCCCCCACAGCTACACCCAGGCCCAGCAACCTCAGCACAGGGGTATCTTTTTGGCTCCATCAGGCTGAATCAGGATATCTGCATATTTCCCATCCTGCATGTGAAGCAGCAGCACAAGCCCAGAACAAGGTTGCCACCAGGGTGGGCACACTGCCTTCAGCATCCTCATAGGATTCTCAGGACCACAGGGATGTGGCTTTCAAACCGTGCTCAGCAAATCCCCATCAGAGGCCAAAGGCAGGAGAAAGGGAGCCCCCACTCCACTTTAAGTTCTACTTGTAATTTACATATTGGACTAGAAGTGGTTCTCAACCCTGGCTGCTCAACGGAATCATCTAACAAGTTTTTGTAAAATGCTGATGCTTTGGTCCCACCTTAGACAAAGTGATTCTTAAGAACCGATTCTCTACGGCTGGCCTCGTGGCTTAGCGGTTAAGTGCACGCGCGCTCCGCTACTGGCGGCCCGGGTTCGGATCCCGGGCGCGCACCGACACACCGCCTCTCCGGCCATGCTGAGGCCGCGTCCCACATACAGCAACTAGAAGGATGTGCAGCTATGACATGCGACTATCTACTGGGGCTTTGGGGGGCCGAAAAAAAGGAGGATTGGCAATAGATGTTAGCTCAGAGCCAGTCTTCCTCAGCAAAAAGAGGAGGATTAGCATGGATGTTAGCTCAGGGCTGATCTTCCTCACAAAAAACAAAACAAAACAAGAAAAATGGTTCCTCTTATGCTATGTGAACTTCGCCTCAATAAAAAAAGCTTTTAAAAATTAAAAAAAAAAATTTCAATGCCTGACAGTACGTGTACAGAGGTGTTCACTGCAGCAAGGAGTGGCCATCCACTGTATATTGGTTAATCACAGTATTAATGTATCCTTGCAGCTAACAAGGAATGACAAATCCTACAGTCTGATAC